CGATGATGAGGTCGATGATGATAAGAAGGGGGGGAAAAAAAAAAATTTTTTTTTTTTTTTTGAAAAAAAAAAAAAAAAAAAAAAAATTCAAAACAGAAATTTTAGGTTGAGCATCGATGATATCAAATGATTGATTATTGGGGATGATTGTCAACAACAACAACAACAACAACAACGAAAAATATTCATTTCATTGAAAATGCATATGACATGTATGATAATCAATCGATTGATTTGAATTAATTTCATCGATTGATTTTTTTTCCCGATCAAATCAATGAATCATTGACCATAATTTTGTTTTCAATTTCAAATGAATGAATATTCAACAAACAACAAAATAATTCAATTTTCTTAATTTAATTTGGAGAAAATTCTTAAGCAAAGAATATTTGAAGAAATGAATTTTTATTTATATTTACAACTTGTTGTTTCTGTTATTACTAACTGTTGTTGTTGTTGGAATAGTATATTCTCAAAAATAAACAAACACCCCACACTAACAGATACTAAAGAAAAACAAATACGAATCATTCTGTAGGCGTTTATCTAACATTATTTAGTTCCTCCTATTTTTCTTAAAAATATACATTATCATGGCTTCTAGAATAAGCACACACACACACAATCAACACTGCTGCATACAAGACAAATACATTGATTTGTGGTGGATTGAAATATCAATATCCGTCACGCACACCCTAACTTTCAATAAGTGAAACAAAACAAAATTAAAGAACATCGACATCAAGTTCAGAAATATCATTCAATTTACAATCTGTATATTAAACTTGTAAAAAAAACGAAAATATCACCCGTTTTCAATGGGATTATAAGACATAATTTGTGTGGATTTTTTTTCCTCTTTTGATTGATTGAAAAATATTGGTATTTTTTTGTTTTTGTTTTTGGTACAATGTTATCAAATATTTGTCTCATTGACAGACAGACAACAAGACTAAAATTCCATAGAATTGAAATCAACCAATGAAGAAAAAATTTTTGACTTTTGATAAAATGAAGAAGCAATGTTTGATGATAAATAATGGTAATCAAATAAACAAATTAAATCAAATCGATTCGAAATATAATAATCTTTATGGACGGATGTTTCTCAATTTTAATCATATTTTTTTGTTGGTTTTAATCAAATGAGATAGATAAAGCTAATCGGGTAAAATTAGGATGTTGACATTGAAATTTGAAATAGAATTCTTGATGAATTTTATTTTATTTTATTTTTTTCGTAAACAAATTCAATTCCATGGGAAAATGTAATTCAATCATCTTGAATTTTTAATTTGTGTTATTTTTTCTGGAGAAAAAAAAACATTAAAACAAACATGAAAGCACAGTATATTTCAATCAATTCAAATTATCGATAATGATTTTATGACTTGAAGTGAAGAGAATATTAAAAACAAACAAACAAAACGAAAAACAAAAAACCAAACAAAATTTTATTTTATTTTAATTTACAATGTAATTTATGGTTGGTGTTTATGGAAAAAAAAACTGGTAATGTACACAAAGTGTATTTCAATGGAAAAAAAGTGAAATCTAATAAGGGTACCATAAATTCCAGGCAATTTAGGTCCGTGTTGGGTGGCTGTTCGGCTAAATCTGGTACCAAAAAAAAGTGTAAACATAAAAAATAACAAGAGATAAATTGTATTTGAGCTACTGGTTATGGATTCAATCAAAAAAACAAACTAACTAACAATCTTGCCACCCACACAATCATAATAATCACCATAATCATCATTCAATGATTATCATCGAACAAATTGACCATTTCGTTCATAGCAAATCAAATAAGAGAGTGAGAGAAAAAAAAATTTTTTGTTTCTTTTTTATCTTTTCAAATGGTTTCATAGTTAAAACTGTTTATAAACATAAATTTGGAAATAAAAGTTTTTCGATGATATGGCTTTTCTGATTTGGAATCGATTCCATCAACAAGTTGTTTTTAACGAGATCAAACAAAAATTACAAGTATCTAACTAATAGAATGTAAAAATATCATGTTAAATTATTAGATTTTGTTTAGACATTTCTTGTCATTTCATTAGTAGTGGGTGGCTGATGATGATGATGATTGAAATAAAAGAATTTTTCTGAAATTTTGTTTACATCAAATTTTGTTTTTGTTGTTGAAAGGATAGGTATCTCTTTCATTCTCTTCATATAGGATTTTTATTTTAAAAACCAACAATAACGACAATATTTGAAATCATTAGTTTATTGACAGTTTGTGTGTGTGCTCGTGATTAAGATCCATGTTTTTTTTGAAATAGAATTTTGTTTTTTTCCAGTTTTTCTCAATTTTCAAATACAAAGTTTATTGATATTCCGAAATGAAAATTTCTTTCAAATACAGTTGCAGTTAGTTTGTATATTGTACATATCTGTATAGAATACAGGAACTACCACACACGAACTAAATGGAATCAAACTTCTTTTTTTTTTTGTTTCTCTCAAAAAAAAAAAATTGATTTCTACTGCATAGAACACCCATACAAACATATCAAAAAGTGAGAAAATGATTTGAACATCATCATTTGTATGGGGAGAAATACACTATAAGATTTTCGTATTGTTCAACAACAACGAATCCAAAAACCAAAAACAAACAAAAAACTGCAACCATCAACACAAACAAAAACAAATTTAGTTTTAGTTTTATCCCAAATGTTTTTCACATTTTGTTTATTTATTGTCAATTGTTTATAATAGTTAATTTTAGTTTGCTTCTACTTGATTCTCAATGATTTTGCTATCGAACGATCGATAGATCGATCGAGAATGAAGATGAAACAAATCTTTCGTGTGTGTGTGTTTTTTTCTATGATTGAATTTAAACGAACCAACAAAAAAGAGCCAAACAAATCAAATTTGAACTACATACAACCGAATGAATTGACCGAACCGAAAACGAAGCCAAGGCTCAAATCCAAAGAAAAACAAAATCGATCAATGTTTAAATTTTCGGTTGTTTATTGGCCATCATCGTTGTCGTTCTTGTTGTTGTTGTTATTGAACGATAACGGAAAAAAATCGAAATAAAGACAATAACAAAAACAAAAATTGTAAACAGGCCCCAAGAAGAAGATGAAAAAAATCCAACAAACTTGACAATGAAATCATCAATCACACACACACACATATACAAACAGTAGCAATGTGGATAAGCAAAGAAAAAAAGTTTCCAGTGAGACAAGTGTCTCAATGGAATTTGATTTAAATTATATATCTGTCGAAATAAATAACAAAAACAAAAAAACCGACCAAAACAAAACAAATTTACAAGTGGAATTTCTCAAGGATTTTCATTATCATATGAAAAATAGATAAATAATGATGATAATGATGATGAAGATTCATAATCATTTCATTATTATTGATAATTAGTGATTTATGAAAATTTTCCGTTATATTTTTTTCTGTTCTATGGCCACAAATGTGTATTTTTTTGAAATTATTTGTTCGTAAAAATGGACAGAAAAATTTTTCCATGTATTTAGTTAGTTAGTTAGTTAGTTGGCTGTTTGTTAAATGTGTGTGGTACTAAATAACATTGATTATAATCACTGATGATGATGATGATTATTATTATCATCTTATCGAATTGGATTGGGTCAACTTCAATGAGAAAAAAAAAATATTCCATCATAAATAGTAATGATATTTGTCGGCTATTCGAAGCAATTGTTTAAATCACATCTGACACACACATAAGCCGATTGATGACATACACCCACGCAACACAATAAGATGATGACAGCCGAAAGCTATTAAACAAAAAAAAAATTGAAAATTTTTTCAGCTGTTGAAGAGAAAAAGCCGGAAAAATCTAAAATAAAATTTAGCGCGTGCAATCTATTACCAAAAAAGAAGAAGAAATCTTTTTCTATTCCTTATGATCATGATCTGATACCGACGGGGAAAAAAATATAAGTCAACCACACACATACACATTAATCTAGCCAGAAAGTAATTCAATATTGTCTGGTCAATAGTTTAAAAAAAAATTTTAAAAATCCATGTTGTTTGTGATGTTATTTGCTTTGCTCCATTTTCTATGAGAATGCCGAAACATTGAAAAAATAAAAATCTTCCTAAACGTCATCAGTTCGATGAATTGAAAAAAGACTGAAAATATACAAAATTAAAAAACAACAAACATAAGATGTGAATTTAGCTGCTGGATTTTTTTCAAAAAAAAAACACTTTGATGGAGATGATATCAAACAATAAAATCGATGATCGAACGAAATGGATCATATTTCGTATGAGCAAATTGGTTTTTTAGGTTTTCTATTCTCTTTGATAAGTAATGATTGATTTTTTTTGAGGAAAAAAATGGATCCTGGCCAAATATTATTTTTTTCTTAATTTCCATTCAATTTGTATTTTGTATTCGCGTGTAAGCTTCGATCAATTAGAATTACCATGGAAAAGCTTTTTTTCCGGAGAATCCAATTCAGTTGAATCAGAATCTTCATCCGATCATCATCATCATCATCATCATCACTATTTTGAATTAGTAAAAAAAAACATTCATCTTTCTCATCATTATACCAATATATACTTTTTTTTCGGATGCAATTTCCGAATGTTATTCATGTTGGAAATTATTTTCCATCTTGATTTGATTGACAAAAATATCTGGCATGATCAATATTTGAACAAAAAGCTAAAATGTACAAACACAAAACTGTATGAAAAAATCAGCATGAATGATCTGTTGATCATTCCTGATGTGTTATACAAAAGCTGATCTATTCAAAACAGCAAGCAACAAAACCGAACCGAACCGAACCAGACATCAGCTATTGAACACACAGAGAAGGAATAAGATTCTTTAAAAATCAGAAAAAAAAATTCATCGTATATCATCATTCAAGAATCATGAGTAATCCGAGAGAAACAACAACAACAAGAAAACCGAAAATGAAATTAATCGCCATTCAAACACACACAATGATGATGATGTCTGCCAATAATAAATACAATCATCAGTAACCAGAAGAAAGAAATATCAAGAAAATTTAAGTAAAAACCAGGCCTGACTGCCAACACACATGCCACTGTGAGGAATGATTCAGAAATTCTCTTTTGCCAAATCAAAATCGAATGAGAATTCGTTGCAAGAAAACATCATCCACATGCATCAACATTTTAACAGTAAAAATAAAAAAAAAATTTTGAACAAACATACAGATGGTGCAGATTTAAGATTGATCTTTCTGTTTTTACTACCGAAATAATGATGATGGTTAAATTGTAATTATTATTCCTCGTCATTATTCGTTTTTGATGTTTGATAGGAACAACAAATAATAAAAATGCCGTCCAAAAAGAAAAAAGGTTAATGTATAATATTTTTTTTCTATTCTGGTAGCCTGTGTTATGTTTTTGCTTTTGCCAATATTGTCGATATATTTGATGCTGATGACGGATGATAATGAAGAAATAGTGTGGCCGCAAACAGATGGTCGGAACATTGGCAGCGGCGGCGTCTGTTGATCTCAAAGATTATTATTATTTTTTAGTGAATATAGTATGGCTGATTTGATCTGGTTAGTCGTCTATTCTTCATGATCATTATTTATTTTATGGTCAATTTCGTGCAATGTTTTACGATGATGTTGATGATTAGCGACATTTGGCATTTCGTCGTTGTGGTTAATTTTACTTTTTAATAAAAACAATTTTCTAGACCACATAGCGCCATCTATTTCTTGATTATAAATATGGATCCATTGGTTGTTTACCATCATTACTATTACCACATTGACGATCAAATTCATCTAAATCAAGAAATAAATGTTTATATTTTGTTTGCAAATATCCTAAAGGTATTCGTGTAAGATTTTTTTCACAAACAGGAATTTTCAATTCTTCCGCCGTTATACGATCCATTGGACCGGGAACATTTGCAGAATAAAGATGTACGGAATCTTCTTGTTTATTATATTCAAACATTAACATTGAACCAAACATTAACGATACACTATTCATATCCAATCCTAGAGCATCTCTTAGATGTAATAATTGTGAATCGTGCTGAAAATAAAACAAAATAAAACATGAATTTGATTCTGAAACAGAATTCTTAATTTTTTACCGTCACATAAATGGATAAACGACTTCGATATGGATCTATATCAGGATCTAATCCTTTGAATATTTCATTCATTAAAACTCCGGCTCGTAAACGTCTTAATTCCGGTTCAATTTCACCAGTATAATCAAATCGTAATGAAATATCAAAAATTTCTTTCAATTGGTTATAAACATTAGCTGTACACCATTTTGGTAAACGACGTCCATGATGTTTAGATGATACAAGATTGTCAACAAATTCTCTTATTTCGCGATGATCACGAAGATTTTCATGAGTAATACATGAAATATTTTGAATAATTTCTTGATGTAAAAGTAAATAATTCTTAACAACAGGAGAATTACGAATTCGTTCGAATAATCGGAAAGCCAATTCACAATTTGAGGATGGATTCAAAAGCTATTCGAAAGAGAAATCAAATCATAATCGGTAATCTTTTCTCTCATCTTTTCTAACTTACAGCTTCACGCCATCTTTGCACGGTAAATATAGGAACCGGTTGCCATAATTCACCTATATCAGATTTCCATTGCCAGACACCAATCGGTGGTGATAGACCGGCTGCAATCAATTGTGAACTTTCTAAACATCTTGGAATTGTTGAACTTCGAATGTAAACATCACGTGGTGAAATATAACGGCCTGGGAATTGATATGAATATCGTCGTCGTAAAAATTGTCCAATACGATACATTCTTGTTCGACCTTCCGATGTTAGATATCCATAACCATTTGGCCATAATTCATTCATTCGATCACGATCAAATGCAAATGGAAATAATGGTGCACGATCACCATGACGAACAACGACAATTATACGATCTAAATGTTTACGTTTTTCCGATAATGATGATGATGCTAAGGAACATAGATCATGCAGAATAATCTGGTAAAAAAACAATGAGAAAATATTAATTAATTTCATTATTAACAAAACAAAAAAATCTTTAAAATAAAACACGAAAAAAAATTATAATATCCACTTATTTAACCACAAGAAACGATTTAAATACTCTCTCAACAAACAAAGAATAAATTGATCAGATTATGAAAAAGTTCATAATTTCACCACTAGATGGTGGATGGTTGGTCAGTGAATGAAGAAAAACAAATTCTTTTTCAACTCTTTATTTTGCAAATCAATTTTTTCAAAATCGTTCAGGTGTTGAAATAAAAGGTGAAAGGTGAAATAAAAATCCCCAGAAGTCATAAAAGTTTTAAAGTTTTCTGAATTCATTACAGATCAAGTTTTTTTTTCGAAACGATGTAGTAATATAGTCATTCAATCAGATCAAAGTGATGGGAAAAAAGGGGTTTTGAAAAATGAATGATGCACGTGTTTTTTCTTCAATAAAAAATGCAAATTCTTTTACCTATTATTTTATCAATAATCATATAAATTATGCTTATGCAATAATATTGAACAAAAATTGAAATCCAAATATCAAACAAACGACTCCATGGTGATAATTTTATGTATTTTTTGCATAGTTAACTTGGATTTGATAAGGTGTTGTTTTCCATCAACACTATTAACATTTTTTAGAAACTTGACTTTTAAATCTTATCATCATCATCATCTTCAGAAAATTTTCAATTTTATTTCATTTCACATTTTTTTTTTGTTTGTAAATGTCAGAATCTTAGAAAAAAAAGGTCAAAAGACTGATATTTTTTTGCTATTGAATAATTGTAAATAAGTAATGATGATTGTAGAAAATTCAGAAGGGTTATTCATCATCAAATTTCTGAGATTAAGTATCATAAAACATTGGTAGTGAAAAAAAAATTGTTTATCACCAGTATTTTTGTTCAAAGAAAATATTATGTAAATTTAGAATATTTACTGCAACAAGTGATGTTATATAATGTAGCATCGATCATCATCATTCAAAAATTTTTTTACCACCTACTTGGTCAGGAGAAAAAAACAGTGAAAGAAAAACGATTGATGATGATGATGATGATAAGTATACAAACATCATCAGTAATAATAAGAAAGAAATTTGTCATGATCAATCAATCGATAATCGATGTTATCAAAGAAATCGATCATTTCAAGAATTTATCAACAACCAAAAAAAAAACAAAGTTAAAATTCTAACAAACATGATCACGAATGAATGATCATCATCATCATGATGTTTATCATCAATGATCATTATCTTTTTTTTCATTTGGAGTAACGAATGATTCGATTCTCATCATTCATATTCAACGACAACAACAACAACCAAACATGAAATTATTTTCACAAAAAAAAATGATAAATGTTGATTTTCGAAATGTGAAATTTCAAATAAAACATCACATTTCACTCCATGAAAAATTTCAAATTTTTGATAATCCATAAGTAAACTGTTGACAGCAGTTAATATATCCTATAGCATCTTTCATCATAATCAGTTTAGTTTTGTAAGTGTTAAAAAAAAGTGATTTCAAAAAAGAAAATCATTCAACAAATCAACGTAGAATCACATAAATCATAACACAGGAGATTTTCACCATCCAGAAAAAAAAATTAATATTGCCAAATGACAAATATGAAGATACTTTGTGTATGAATTATGAGCTAAACATTCATTTTTGTCTTCCTTCATATGCAATCGATGTTCATAAGTAAAAGATTAAGAAGAAAAACCGATGACAAGCGAAGATGATTCGTTAAATTTTACAAGTCGTAATTAACACTGGTTCGATCAAAAAAGGGGACGAAAAAAAAACATTAAAATAATCAATAAAAGGTAAAAATGAACAAGAAATTTTGTCATCATTTTTTTTTCATCATAATCATCAGGATTGATGATTATTATGATGATGAAGGAAAAAACCATCAAAAATTAGAAAATTTCATTTCCAATTTCTTCTAATCCTCGATAACTTCAATGATCTCATCTTATTGGTCAAAAAAAAAAAATGTTTTCAACATCAACATCAACGTGTTTTTCTTTCCAAAACAACATCGATTCGAGATGATTGAATGTGTCTGAGAGTAAAATCTGTGGTTACATTCATCATCATCATCATAATGTCATTAATCTTGTTTATAAGTTTTTTTTCTAGCTAACGAGCAAAAAAAAAACTCTAAAATCTATTTCTTGAAGAAGTATTATCACACTTAAAGTTTACCTATGATATTACCTGCTGGTTGAATGTAAGAGAAATAAAAACGAAAAGAAATCCTGAATATTATGTATATCTGATTATCTGATGTTGATGATGAGAATCATTCTTATTAATGATGATGATGATGATGATGGTGAAACATTGAACTATAGAATATTTTTCTGGTTGTTTGACTTGTTGTTGTTGTTGTTGTTGTTGTTATTAGAATGGTCATCGATTATTATGGACAAACACCCCCTCAGTGTAAGTGAATGAGTGAAAGAGATTATTATTCACAATGTTTGATTGTTCAATGAATATGATGATAGAGTGGTGATCAATCAAAAATTAGACGATAAAAAACAACAACAACATATGAAAAAAAACTGGCCAAACATTTTTCATTTTCATTCATTCATTGTTGACCACTGTTTTACAGTGAAAAATATTCAAATCATCAGATACCATAAGACTATAGTGGACTTGGTGTATTCGATTGACAATTCAGTCTATTGTCATTTTCATTGTTTTTGTTGTAAAAACAATAAATTCTTGAAGTAATTACCCATAAATAATTACTTCCACCTGGGTTAAAAAAAAATCTTAAATAATATGGTTTTTTACAGAAAAATTTCACTAAATAAATTTGTTTTTCTCCCGAATCAAAAAAATATAGGCTAATTAGATAAAGGTAGCGTGTAGGTGGTTAAAGTCAGGTTAAATCATCATCAACAATGACCAAACGTAAAAACAACAACAACTATCCATGAAATGAGAATCTTTTCCTCTCCAGAGAGTCTTCAATCATCAGGAATAGAAAAGAGATATTCAACAACAAACAAACAAAAAAAAAATAAACATTTATCTATCATTGTTAACCAAAGAAAAACAATCACATTGACTTTAACAATTGAAAATCATTCACACCATTCAACACACACTTGGTGGTAAAAAAAAATAATACGGAATCATTCTTCTTCATTTTTTTTACGATAAAAAACCAAATGACTTCCACCCTCAACCTGAAGAATGATACTTGAAACAAGTGCCCAAAAAAATCAAATTAATCAATAATCAAGCTAGTCAACATAGGATTGTAAAGTGTTTCAGTGTGTGGGGCAATTAAATTTTTTATTTTCAACGCTCTTGATTCACTGCTGTAGGTATTTATGTTTTTTTTTCTATGAAAATTTTAGTTTGTTTTTTTTGAATAGAAAGTTGTTGTTGTCAATTCAATTCAATAATTTTTTCTGTTTCGATTCAATGTCTAGACTCATTCATTCATTCATTCATTCGACAACAAAAGAATTGAAATGTGACATTTTTTTTCTTGAAAAAAACAAGGTTAAAATGGATTACCCATTTTTTTCTCTGGAATTCCTGAATTAAATAATGATTAATGATCATTATCATCATCATAATCATCGTTGAAACTTATTATCGATTAATAGAGAAAATGTTGGAATTCAAAAAATTAATTCTCTTTTCATCCTTTTCAGTATGGATGTATATCAAAATTCTCTCAACTTTTTGAAATTGTTTTTGCAACTTTTTTTTTGTTTATCAACTTGAAACCAATCCATTTGATAATCTTGGCGCCATGAATTACAGTTGTTGTTGTTGTTGTTGTTGTTATTGTTTTGTTCCAAACAACAATGACAACAATAAATGTCAATGTTGTAGGTGTCGACGACGACAACAATAACCAAAGGCCAAGGCGAGACAAACCATTTTTTTCAAATTTTTCAAAACAAAATTGAAACAAACACATAAACACACAGTGAAAAAGTGAATAAATTCTTTCATTGTTCACCACCACCACCATGTGAATAAATGTGGTTTTTTATTATTATTTTGTTTATCAATAATAACTGGAACATTGTTAAGTGTGCTATGCATACAATGGAAAAGATTGATGAAAAAACAATTTGATCACCAGAAACAACAACCAAAAGCAAAAGGTCAATGTGACAAGTCAAACATAACAAAAGGTCTCAAGAGTTAAATTTACACGAGAAATAAACATTGAGATTCATGAAAAAAAACCAGAATACTTGTCAAACTGTAACTTTTTACGAAAATATTTGTGTGTGTGTGTGTGTATGATTGACATTGATATTGACATGATTTGTTCAAGTGAGTGAAAAAAAAAATATAATACCATTCTTTCGACACCTTACAAGAGATCACATGTCAATCGTTATGGCATGAAATGATCAACAACAACAACAACAACAATTTCATAAATTTTTTTTTCTCAATACCGGTGTGTGATTTCTAATTAATTTTCTAACTTTTTTTTTCTCCCAAAAGTTTTCATTGGAAAATTTATTATTATTACACTTTTTTTTCCTTCTTGAGTTGCGGTCAGGCTTGTTGCTAGGATTTTAATATCAAAAAAAAAATATTGAACTAAAATAATGTGTCCAACCGTGTGGTGTCTAGACCATTTCAAATATTTTTTGAATTGAATTTTTGAATTTCTATTGTACTCTTTTCTATAATCAACTTTGAAGAAAAAAATTTGTGTTTATTTGTTACTGGGTGTTTGTTTCATATACAATCAAAATATTATGACACAAACAAGAGGTGGACAATAACAATAATGATATAACGAACAAGTGAACAAACCATTAGCCAATCAACCAACCACTTATAATCATTCAATGGATCGATGACACGGTAAATTGAATTCCCCTTCAATCTATGAACAATAAATAACAATTTCATTGGTTTTGATGAACCATTGATGATGATACTCTCTCTCTCTCTTAATTTCAAAGTTGCTTCACAAATGGTCAATCACATCATTATCAATGCATATTAAAATCAATGATTTAAAAAAGAAGAAGAATTTTGTTTGCTGTTACAATCTATAAATCTAACA